ACAGACTGTCAGCAACATTAAATGGAGGCAATCACCATGATCCACAAAGGCTTCTTGCCTCAGTTCAATTCCTGGATAAGTGGGTTAGATGTCGAGTGGAGCATGACAATAACTTCTGAGTATGAGTCAGGAGCAACTTGATCAAAGGAACACACATTATTCCTATCGGGATTCTACTCTGTGTTGTAGTATGACCCCGCGTCCAGTCCCAACTGGGTGTCGCGCCTAATAGTCGGGTTGTGTTTGGTTCCGTTGCACATGTATTAATCGAAAGCCTGTAACCGATCTCTTCAGTCTGAAGAGAACGGTTACAGTTATAAAACCCTGAACTCTTGACTTACAGCAGGTTATGGGCACCCGAGGCCCTTCCAGCACGACACGCTATGTTTTCAATTTACTTGACAGTAAAAACTGGAAAACCTTTTCGTTCAAAGCAAAGAACAGGTTCCAGGATGAAGGCCGATGGGTGTACATTGACGAGCCGCCAGTCCCGAAAACAATAACCACCCAGAGCCCAGCATTGTCGCCCAGCACCGGGATGATAGACATCGAGATTGTGAATCCAGACTGTGCTGCCTGGGCTGAGGGCAATGCAAAGACGATGCGCAGGATCGTCGAGATGGTCGGTGGTGGCATATATCGAGAACGCCACGACCGCAGCAGAGATGTGGAACAACCTTCAAACCGTTTACGAGGCTGTGGGCATGCAGTCCATGATCGCGACTCACGAGAAGCTCTCCACCATCAAGTACGCAGGAATCCAAAGTGGCCCCCTCCAGGACCACATTGACGTTATCCATGGCTATGCCACTGATTTGAAGCGTGGAAATGATGGCCTTACCGACTCCAAACTTCTCCAGCTCGCACTCAAAAGTCTTCCCGAGGAGTTCACCTCACTTGTCCAGACCATCTCTATCATCGCAAATCCGGGTTCCACCTTGGCATCAGTTACCCCGATTCTTCTCGAGGAAGAGGTTCGCCAGGTATACTTGCCGCCAAACTTCATGAGGAGCATGCACTCAAGGCACACACGGAGACACTCACACTCGCCAAGGCCCACGACGACGAGATTGCTGCAAATGCAATCAAGGCCTTTGTTGCACAGAGAGGATCTTGGCGTGCTCGAGGTGGACGTGGCGGTGGTACTGGTGGACGGGGAGGCGGTACTGGCGGCGGCGAGTGGAAGAAAGCTGTCACCTGTTACGGATGTGGTCTGAAAGGACATATCGTGCGAGACTGTCCACTCGGCCCGAAGGACCAGGCCAGGGAGAAACTGCGCCTTGCACAGCTGGCATACGATGCGGTCGATGACCAAGATCAGCCGAAGGTCCTTCTCACAAAGAAAACCACAAATGTGCTCCGATCTGATGCGCTGTTTGTTGACTCAGGCGCTTCGCGTCACCTCGAACCCAAGCGCTCGTCATTCGTAACTTATGCGCTCAGCTGATTCCCATCCAGCTCGGGGATAATAGCGAAATCTACGCTATTGGCCACGGAACCTGTCGCAAGCATGTCAAAGCCGCATCGGGAGCTCGCACCATTGAATTTACACGTACGCTGCACGCGCCGAAACTCGTGGGCTCCCTTCTGTCGGTTGGACAGTTGACCGCAATTCCAGGTGTCAAACTGGAATTCGAGGGCAAACTCTGCCTACTCAAGCTGCGCAGAGAGATTTTGTGTCAGGCATCATTCAAGAACGGCCTGTACATCCTCGAACTCGCGGACATGGAGTCTTCCCCCTTTTACACAAGCACCCCCTCTGTCCTCAAGGCCAAGACACCCGCGCCCGCTGGTAAGCGCCTCGACATCCTCACGCTACACCAGCGCCTCGGCCATCTGAATATTTCTGATCTCAGGAAACTCGTCGCATCGAAGATGGTCGACGGGCTGGATATGGGGATTGCGGGAGAGGATTTCTCGTGTGAAGCTTGCTTGCATGGAAAGACGGCACGCAAATCGTTCCCAAAAGGAGGGAGGAAACATGCAACTCGTGTTCTAGAGCTCATACACTCTGATGTCTGCGGCCCGTTGTCGAATTCCATCGGCGGAAGCCGTTACTTCATTACCTTCACGGACGACTACTCAGGCCGTGTTGACGTTGATTTCTTGAAGAAGAAGAGTGATGCTCTCACACGCTTCCGTGTATGGAAGGCCCGCGTCGAAAAAGAAACTGGCCGGAAGGTCGGTAAGATCCGCACAGACAACGGAGGCGAGTACGCCTCTGACCAGTTTGAGGTGTACCTCGAGTCAGAGGGAATCGTTCACCAGACCACCACTCTGTACAGCTCACAGCAGGGTGGTGTTGCCGAGCGCATCAACCGCACACTGGAGGAGAGTGCCCGTGCAAATTTGCGTGAAGCTGAGCTCTCAATGGGGTTCTGGGCCGATGCTGTCGCATACGGGGCATATACGCGCAACTTCTGCCCGACACGCTCCTCTTTGGATGGGCGCATCCCAGAGGAGGTGTGGACAGGGCAGCGCCAGGATGTTAGCCACTTACGGCCATTCAGATGTGAAGTGTGGGTATCTGTTCTTCCGCTGAAGGGACGACCGGCGCTCGCTGACACGGCAGTCAAATGCATTCTATTGGGTTACTACACCCTCCCGGGCACAGAATCGAAGGCATACAAGTGTTATGACCGCGTAACAAAGAAGGTCCACAAATCCAGAGATGTGACTTTCTTTGAGCACGGACGAAGTTCTGGCTGGACTGAAGTTATCACAGACCTTCGAAATCTCCCTCCCATCATCCAGATTCCACCTGCTGCACCCGCCGAAGATAGGCCCACGTCTCCCGCAGCTGAAGCTGTTCTGGTGCCTGCAGGTTTTGAGACCGAGGATGAGGGGGAGCCCGAAGTTGATGAGCCAGAGTCCGATGTGGAGGACCCAGAGGTTGCTGTCGAGCAGCCACTCCCGCCAAGGGTGCACAAGCTTCTGCAGCGCTTTTCGGGCATGGCAGATGAGCGCTCAAAGCTGCCGAAAGGTCGTTATAAGCACCAGGCCCCGGCAGTGGATGTTGCGGACACACCTGTGCTTGAGGAGGAGGAGGAGCCCGATTTCCAAGCACAGGCTCGTCCTGCGCGAGTCCCCGAGCCTCCCATTGTCGTCCCGTTGACATTCAAACAAGCCATGGCCAGCGCAGATTCCGAGGACTGGGCAGACGCGATGATGAAGGAATTTGGCTCCCTCATCAAGACCGGTACCTTCGAATATGTTGACCTTCCAGAGGGCCGGAAGGTAGTGACGTGCAAGTGGGTCTTCAGCGTGAAGTACAACCAGTGGAACGAGTTCGAGCGCTTCAAAGCTCGTCTCGTGGCACGTGGGTTTACCCAAATTTATGGGATCGACTATAAAGAGACCTTCGCCCCTGTCGTCAAATTCACTTCTCTCCGTGTCATGTTTGCCACTGCTGCCCACTTTGGTCTCACCATTTATAAAATGGACGTTGTCACCGCTTTCCTCAATGCGGAGCTCGATGAGGAAATTTACATGTCTCAGCCACCTGGTCTTGCTCCAAAATTAAATGCTCGCGGCGAAGAGTTGGTTCTGCGCCTCCACAAATCGATCTACGGGCTTAAACAAGCCTCTCGCCAGTGGTACCGCCTCATTGATTCCATCTTCAAGTCCCTCGGCTTCATGCGTCTCCAATCTGACCACAGCATCTACCTGTGCCGACGTGGAAGCATCATCATTGTCATTGCCCTGTATGTCGACGACCTCCAGGGAGCAACGAACGATGAGGCTACCTGGAATGATGTGAAGTCGAAGTTGGCAGCGCGATTGAAGATGAAAGATCTCGGTGTCGCGTCATATTGTTTGGGCTTGGAGATTTCCCAGGACCTCAAAGCCCAGACTGTGCGGATCTCCCAGCGCAAATACTTCGTGAGCGTCCTCAAGCAATTTGGGATGGCAGATTGCCGCGCTGTGTCCACTCCGTTTCCGGTTGGCACAAAACTGACAAAGGTGATGTCACCGAAAACAGCCGAGGAGCGCCGGCTTATGTTCGGGAAGGACTACATGGGCCTCCTGGGCTGCTTGGCACTCGTGCTGACATCTCCTTTGCAGTCGGTGTTTCTAGCCGGTTCAGCTCGAATCCCGGGATCGAACATTGGAATGTGTTGATGCACCTTTTACGGTACATCAAAGGTACGCTAGATGCCGGGATCACGTACACCGGGCCTGGTCGTTTGGCCACCCCTCTATCCGAAACCCTTGTACGCTACACGGACACGGACTGGGCGGGCGACAAGGACAATATGCGATCCACCTCCGGTTCCCTTGTCATTCTGGCTGGCGGCGCTGTTTTTTGGATCAGCAAATTACAAAGTGTCACTGCTCAATCCACCATGGAGGCCGAGTATATTGCAAGCAGCCACTCAGCCCGGGAACTTACATTCGTCCGAACGCTGCTCGGCGAGCTGATGGACCATCCACTTGATCATCCGTCGCCCATGCACTGCGACAATCAGTCCGCCATCTCCGTTGCCGAGAACCCAGCGATGCATGACAAGGCCAAGCACATTGCATTGAAATATCACTACATTCGGGACCTAATTGAAAACAAGAGCCTTACCATCCAATATTGCCAATCCGGTGCAAATCCCGCCGACCTCCTTGCGAAAATCCTCCCACGAGACGTGACTGTACGGTGCCGCCGCATGATCGGCTTGAACTCCGGGACTGGATAGCAAGGTCAGGGGGAGTGTTGTAGTATGACCCCGCGTCCAGTCCCGACTGGGTGTCGCGCCTAATAGTCGGGTTGTGTTTGGTTCCGTTGCACATGTATTAATCGAAAGCCTGTAACCGATCTCTTCAGTCTGAAGAGAACGGTTACAGGTGCGTAGTATATTATCCTAATATATATTCAATCTGAAGAGAACGGTTACAGTTATAAAACCCTGAACTCTTGACTTACAACACTCTGCCCTTCTAATATTGATGAGAACTGGGCGACTCATGGCCTCGAATCCCGAGGAAAAAAATGGATTCAAATCCAGCCATGCCTTCGGGAGGATTCGAACCTCCGTCTCCTCTCACACCATTCAACAACTCTTATTAAATCGAGGCGATCACCATGATCCACAAAGGCTTCCTGGCCCATTTCAATTCCTGGAGAAGTATGACAATAACCCACAGCCAGTTTGAATTGGTAGTTCTGGGCCGATGAAGAACCCACCTTACTTACTCTCAGGATCTGCTCTACCCTTATGGTATTAAGGAGGACTGGGCAACCCGTAGCCTCGAATCCCGAAAAACAAGGCCAAAAACGATCGCGCAAAACTTGAAATGCCTTCGGGAGGATTCGAACCCCACCTCCTCGCTATTAACACAGATGCAACAATTGCTATTAAGTTGAGGTGATCACCATGATCCACAAAGGCTTCCTGGCCTATTTCAATGCCTGGATAAGTAGGTTGGAGCATGACAATAACCCATGGCCAGCTTGGTATTTTTCTGGGCACGAGGACTTGATGAAGAACCCACCTTACTTACTCTCAGGATCTACTCTACCCTTATGTTATCAAGGAGGACTGAGGGGCTCATACCCCGAAAACGAGGCTGAAAAAAAAATATCACAAAGGATGATGCCTGCGGGAGGATTCAAACCTCCGTCTCCTCTCACACAATTCACCAACTCTTATTACAGCCGTTTGCATAATTGATGACAGGAGCCGAGAAAAAGAAAGAAAGAAGAGTTTTGATTCCGGAACTTGTTTTGCTCATTTCTCCTTTGTTTCTTGTCCGATTAGGCTGGAAATAGGAGGGTTTGAAAGGGTTTCTTAAGGCCTTCACAACCATACCATATTCACCACCCAATTAACAGATTCAAGCTTGATGATTTTTCCCTTGTAATCAATGAATTTAATGGATGTCCAATTTTATAATACACCTATCTCCCTCATTTCTCAACGAAATTACATGTGGGTAAGTGCATTTGAAAGCCCCAATTTGCCACCAGATGTTTTGCCAGTATAAAAATAAAGGTGACTGACTGATTGTGTGCTTACCTGAGTCTGTTTATGACCCCCCCCCCCAACATAATCACACATTACACCAGAGGATGAGGGCCAATGATGGCCCAAAGGCACATAGAAGACCCAGGTGAATTGGGGTTTTAATCAGCGCCAAGTTTCATGTAATTCCATTGAGAAACGAAGGAGATATGTGGGTTATGAAATCGGACACCCATCAAATCCATTGATTGATTACAAGGGAAAAACCATTGAGCTTGAATATGTGAATTGGGAGGTGAGTGTGATATTTTTATGAAGGCCCTGAGAAACTCTCTCGATCCCCCCTATTTTCAGCCTAATCGGATCAGAAATGAAGGAGAAATGAGCAAAACAAGTTCCAGCATCAAAACTCTTCTTTCTTTTTTTTTCTTGGCTACTGTCATCAATTATGCAAACAGCTGTAAATGGAGGTGATCACCATGATCCACAAAGGCTTCCTGGTCTATTTCAATTCCTGGATAAGTAGGTTAGATGTGGAGTGGAGCATGACAATAAAGCTTGGTATTTCTGAGCAAGACTCAGGAGCATTTGATGAAAGGAACACGCATCATTCCTCTCAGGATTCTACTCTGCCCTTCTAATATTGATGAGAACTGGGTGACCTACAGCCTCAAATCCAGCAAGAATATAAGACAAAAAAACTGCCAATACCCCATACCTTTGGGAGGATTCGAAACCCCACCTTGCTAGTGGTTGATTTCACATCCATTAAATTGAGGTGATCACCATGATCCACAAAGGCTTCTCAACTTGTGGATAAGTAGCTCTGATATCGGCCGGACATGGCAACAACTGACGGCCAGCTTGGTATTTCTGGGCATGAGGACTCGGAAGGACTCAATGAAGACCTACCTTACCTTCCTTTCAAAATTCTATATATTGAGAACCGGGGACACCATAGCCTCGAATCCAGCGAAAACATAGTCTCTCATAGACAGACACTTCAACAAATTGACACCTCATACCTCAGAGCGAAGGCAAAGCCAAAAGAAAAAAGAAAAAAAAACCTCAACTCTTGCTACTCATGCCTTTGGGAGGATTTGAACCTCCACCACCGCGTGAATAAACTTTCTCAACAATGACTTGAGGTGATCACCACAATCCACAAAGGCTTCTTGGCTCAGTTCAATTCCTGGACCAGTAGCTCTGATATTGATAACTGATGGCCAGTTTGGTATTTCTGGGCACGAGGACTCAGGAGGGCTCAGTGAAGACCTACCTTACCTTCATTTCAGAATTTTATATGGTGAGAACCGGTGACATCATAGCCTCGAATCCAGCAAAAACAAGGCCAAAAAAAATGACAATGCTTGCTACTTATGCCTTCGGGAGGATTCGGACCCCCACCACCATGTGAATCAACTTGCTCAACAACCCAAATGACTCGAGGTGATCACCACGATTCATAAAGGCTTCTTGGCTCAGTTTGATTGCTGGATAAGTATGTAGCTCTGATATTGAGAGGAGGACGACAATAACCCAGCTTGGTATTTCTGGGCACAGCACCCATCTTGCCGTCATCTTAGGATTCTACCTCTAATTAAATACCCTTGTAATATTATTGAGAAGGCCTCAAATTCAGCAAAAATAAAGCTGAAAAAAACTCATTCACAGCCTCCTATGCCTTCGGGAGGATTCGAACCCCACTAATTGCTAGATGAGAACACTTATATTAAATTGAGGTACTCACCACGATCCATGAAGGCTTCCTGGCGTAGTTCAGTTCCTGGCTAAGTAGGTTAGATATTGAGCGGAAAGAAACAAAACATCCGTAATCTCGTTGACACATGCCTTCAGGAGGATTTGAACCCCACCTCCTCACTAATGGTCAACTCGAAGTAGACTCCGACATACACTACACTCCCACCCCCCATAGACAGACCTCTGTCTACCTCTGTCTACCTCTGTCTACCCTCTGTCTACCCGGTGATAAGCCGCGAAATTTGTGAAACCTCAAATTTTATGAATGCATGACATTCAGCGCTCATCCAGAGGTTGGCGCGAGCTCCAAACGTGCAACCCAGAGCCATATTGCATTATCATCTTAAACTGGCAATAACAGCTTATTCCTGGAAACTTCACCTTTGGGACACTTGAGGGTTGAATCCGGATCAAGGCTCAAAGCCCATACATCAAAGTCCTGAAACACCCTCTATACGTGGGAAGGCAAAGCAATGCTCACTATCAAAGGGAGAATCATATTATCCACCTCTGGCATTTATTGGCATGCTGGGAACCTTATTCGGGAGGGAAACACCTAGTTGTTTACACGACTTTGGCTTACCCAACGCGACATGATGGGTCACCTGATCAAGGCCTGGACCTACAATTATTACTCCTATACACTGGATCCACGACAGCGTGATCACCCAATAAGCTGCAGATCAGATTAAGCTTGTACTGCGTGTTTCTGGATACCGATTAAGGGCATCTGGGGTATCATTGGAAAGGTATTAAACCATACAATCCAGTTAACGATACTAGAAGTTGAGGCATCTACCACAGAGGAAGATATGAGTCAATTATCCTATTCAGGGGACTAATTACACATATAATCCCCTGATCGACGGGAGTCATTAGACGAACATATAGGAGGGCTCAAGTAGCGAATAGGAACGCCAGAACGCGCTCCGCTGATACCGATTTCAGGCTAATTAATTAAGTAGAATACCCGAAGCCTAGTAATCATGCACATGTAATAGATTTTGTACAGTATATACGGAGGGCAGAACTAGGGAGGACGGCACTGAACCAGACCCAGAAAGTGAGGAGCAATACAGCCCTTGCATACGGAGTTGAATTTTAGGCTTGAATCTTTGGCTGTCAATTAGTCTCAGAATTTAAGTTCGGTTTTGGAATAGCATCAGTGGGATTTATAAGTGTTAGTTACGGGTCGTGAGCCATACCAAGTTTGAGGTGTGAGCCATTGTGTGTGTTTTGAGGCGTGAGCCATAGTTACGGGGCACGAGCCAAGCAAGTTTGAGGCACGAGCCAAGTCAGTGGAATAAGGCGTGAGCCAAACAACCGGGTCTAAACAGCCCACCGGATTAATAGTCCACCAAAACAAACCGGTCTAGAGCCGTTATATCTGCATAGTTGTGAAACTTAAATCCACGTTGGGAACCAACTGATAAATTCAGGTTGTGTCTTGAACACCACTTCAAGAAACTAGTTGAGACTTAGCCACCCTTGGGGGAACGGGAATTGAATACTTTCGTGACAAATACATTTACTCGTGGTTTCCTTGGACCTATACTTGTGTCCAAAAAGACCCGAATCTCGTCAGTGCATCAAGGTCATTAAGGGAGTGTGTTGGTGTTGGAGTCTGTCTATTGTCGGTTTAGTCGTGCTTAATCTCACTTTGTGTAACTCAGTCGTTCGATAGGGGGGATTTTGGCAGTTGCATATTTAGACCATTGAACCTGAGCAACCCTTTCACCGGGTAGACATATGTCTACCATGGTGAGTAGACACATGTTAGTGTACCTCTGTCTACCCTAGGTAGACAGCCTTTGGCTACCTCTGTCTACCTTAGGGCCTGATCGGGTGCTGCGCTTCCCCGGAGTGTCCCTGCCAAAATTGAAGTTTCGGCTCTGATGGGGCTGTGTTCCGCTCAAGCGTGATTCGGCCCTCTGTCACCAAGGTCTAGACCATGGCCATCAAACACCCTCGACATCGCTCACCGCTCATTCCCGTCTATCCCACCTACATCCCGCCTTCTCCGACACAAGGAATAGCACATTGAATACTTCTTTCAAAATGCAATTTCTTGTACTAACAATCATTCTAAAAGTCATAGATACCATCTGTCAAGATGCACTCAACATCCTGCAAATATTTGAGGAGATGTGTCTCCCCCGCTGTGGAAGGCGGTGAGTAGACGATCCCTGACGATGCCACATCAGGGATCAGTGTCAACCCAGTCCGAGAAAGTTCCAAGTGACTGATGTGACCAACAAAGCGGGCCCTTAGTCTCCCTGGGTACATTGACCCCGTCCACCCATGCCAGGCTAATTTGGGCTCACCTCAACCTGTTGTGTGTCTGGGCAGTTCGGATCTCTTAGGCTTGTCATGT